GGGGGGAGGGCGTGGGGGGGGGGTTTCAAAAATGAAAAAGGGGGTGTGATGCCGAAAAGTTTGGGAACCACTGTAGCTGTACTGCAAAGCCCGGGCAGCTTGCACAAGCAATGGAAATAAACCCAAGGTGGCAGCTGGACGGGGGGAAGAAGGGGGTACTGACTCCTGTTTTGAATAGTGAAAAACTGTATCGCCACCCCCAAAGGTTAGAAGAGCGGGTGGCTCCCCGAATCATGAGATTGGCATAAGATGTGGGTGTACTATAGTTTTATATAGGGGCAGTGCAAAGCCCGGGCAGCTTGCACAAGCAATGGAAATAAACCCAAGGTGGCAGCTGGACGGGGGGAAGAAGGGGGTACTGACTCCTGTTTTGAATAGTGAAAAACTGTATCGCCACCCCCAAAGGTTAGAAGAGCGGGTGGCTCCCCGAATCATGAGATTGGCATAAGATGTGGGTGTACTATAGTTTTATATAGGGGCAGTAAGATATTCTTTGTCTTATTTTCTATCACTTTTTAAATAATTCCTAGCATCCTATTTGCTTTTTTGACTGCTGCTGCACACTGCATGGACATTTTCAGAGAACTATCCACGACAATGCCAAGATCTCTTACCTGGTTAGTTGTAGCTAAATTAGCCTCCATCATATTGTATGTATAGTTGGGGTTATTTTTTCCAATGTGCATTACTTTACACCTATCCACATTAAATTTCATTTGCTATTTTGTTGCCCAATCACTCAGTTTGGTGAGATCTTTTTGAAGTTCTTCACAGTCTGCTTTGGTCTTGACTATCTTGAACAGTTTAGTATCGTCCGCAAACTTTGCCAAATCGCACACTGAGGGTGGCTCTGGTTGGTGCCAATACTTCTTGCAGTCACAAGGAGTAAGGGAAGCCTATCGGAGTGTTTGCTCCCGTCAGACTCCCTCTGTGAAGATGGCACCAAGCTCGGCTTAAGGTAAACTAACGCTAAGTATGTATTCTATGTAGCTGGAGTTGCGTATCTTAACCCGACCTTTCAGGTCTAATGTAGACCTGGCCAACCCAGTGCAACTTAGGCCAGGACTACACTAGCCCTGGAAGGTCAGGTTAAGACACACAACTCTAGCTACATAAAATATTACAAATGTATACAAAGAACAGTAGGTGGGTGCGAGAGGCTGTCTAGTTATTTATTGAAGTTGAGTAAGGATAGCTGGTCAGAGCTGAATTTATTTTGGAATATTCAGTGTGAAGTTTACACATGAACACTTATTTAAAAACCTATATGAACTGTGAATGTAACCAAATAGTTATCTACCCTTCCTTATTTGTTCATATCCATAGTTTTAAATGCTTAGGCTTTTCTCAAATGTAACTCAAACATTGGAGGAAATTTACCTGATGGTTACCTATTTTTTCCCCTGCTGATAATGCTACGTTTAAGCATTTCTGGGGGCTAGAAGTCCATTGGACATTTTGCTAAATATCTGATGCATGAAATTATTACACAAATAGTATATTGTTATTATGTGTATTATTGTAGGATCTAGGGCCCCATTTTCCTAGTTACCATTCCCTTCATATGTGGCTTTCATTTACTAATTTCAAATACCATGCTATTTCCACCAAACAGAATACATTACTACTCTACACTTCCTGCCTGCAGCCCAAAGTGTTGATCCAAGAAAGAAAGGAGAAGAAAAGGAATGAATGAACCAGAAATGGCAGAAATGTTGCCATTCAAATATTCTGACATTGCTTGTGAAGTCAGGTCTGGGCCTCCTACTGGCATGGAAGAGAAAGCAAACTGGCTCACACCCCAGCTTGTGGGAGTTTGAGAGCAGAAAGCAGAATCTTTAGTGGATCCAGATTTAGTTTTTGGCATGATTCTAGGTCTCTCGAGCTTCTCCAAAAGTCTGTTGGTGATATCATCATCACGCCCACAGCAAACCCCCAGTAACTGAAGTGATTAGGTTGCCACATTAACAAAAAGAAAAGAACTGAAAGCTATAGGGTTCCAAGAGCTAACTGCTGTCTCTATCTGTGTACTTGACCCTGCCCACAAAATTCTCTTTGAATCCCCACGTTGTCTCTGCCAACAAGTGAGCTATTCCGATAAATGTTTTAGAACAGCAATAAGTATTACACAGGCAAATCCCTTGCCAACAAATGTCTAACTTCCATTCTCCAAAGGACACTTTGATTTCTTTCAATTTGTTCTAGACCATCTATTTTTCTTTCCTTATAAATTACTCTTAGCCTCTCAGTCCTCCTGACTTGTTACACTATAATATTACAGAACTATGCAACCCAATCTATTCTACTCCTGAAGGCCAAGATGTGCTATCCAGCTTCAGTTTATTGTTTCTCTGGTCATAAGGAAGAGCGCTGTGGATGAAAGGTAAGTATCAGTAGGACTGGGTCCATGAAAAAAGGTGACGTGCTGAAAGGTGTCATCTCTCTACCAGAGTGATTGGTGAAGCAATAGTAACGAGCCTGGTACAATTTACTAAGAGCTGTGGTGTAGAGGGAGTTGGGTCTGTTTAGTCTGCAGAAGAGAAGAGTGAGGGGGGATTTGATAGCAGCCTTCAACTTCCTGAAGGGAGGTTCCAAAGAGAATGAAGAAAGGCTGTTCTCTGTAGTGATGGATGCAGAACAAGGAGCAATGGTCTCAAGTTGTGGCGGGAGAGGTCCAGGTTGGATATTAGGAAAAACTATTACACTAGGAGAGTGGCGAAGCACTGGAATGGGTTACCTAGGGAAGTAGTGGAGTCTCCATCCCTAGAGATGTTTAAGTCTCCGCTTGACAAAGCCCTGGCTGGGTTGATTTAGTTGGGATTGGTCCTGCCTAGGGCAGGGGGCTGGACTTGATGACCTTCTAAGGTCTCTTCCAGCTCTATGGTTCTATGATTCTAGAGTCCATCACTGAGAATTTTTAAATCAAAATGAGATGTGTTCCTCCTAAAAGATCTGCTCTAGGAACTATTTTGGGGAAAATTTAATAGCTTGGATTATACAGTGGTTTAAACAAGATGAGCCCAGTGGTTCCTTTAGGCCTAGGAATTGATGAGAGCCTAGTAATGTGTGGTATCTCCAGGGATAGGAGAAGGGAGAGGGACCAGAGGCTAACAGTAGCTGTTCTTGGAGATGGAGATTGCCTGTGGAGAAAGGTCAGATTCATTGCATCAGCAGCAAAGCAGCAACTCATTGAATACCTGCAGCTTCACAGCTGTTGGCATACTTCACATTCTGGCCACCCTGAACATCATGGTGACTGCAAGCGCAGAGCCTTTTGTTCCAAAACTGCTGGACCCTAACATTTGCTGGACCCAAAAGAATCTCCATTAGCTTTAGCCGTATAAAGGGTATGATAAATTAGTGCACTTCCAGTTGCATCCAGAAGATGGCAGTGTATATATATATATATTTCTTGCTTTCTCCTATATATATATATGCCAGTTTACAATCACTTCCAACTAGTCCAGTGGTTTTCAAACTTTTTTTTCTGATGACCCAATTGAAGAAAATCGTTGATACCTGCAACCCAACATCATTTGACTAGAGTGTGGTCTCCAGGATGGGCCAAACATCATTTGACTAGAGTGTGGTCTCCGGGATGTGCCAGAGGAAGAGAGCTTTGGGGTGGAGGAGGAAGCTCTGGCTTTGAGGGTGGCAGGAGGGTCTTACCTTGAGCGGCTCCCAGTGAGTGGTGCAGTGGAGGGGCTAAGGCAGCGTCCTGCCTCTCCTGGCACCACAGACCATGCTGCACCCCACAAGCAGCCAGCAGCAGGTTCTAGCCAATGGGAGTGCAGAGCCAGGGGGCATGCGCTGCTTCCTGCCCCCCACCTTTCACATCGAGGAGCCGAGCTCTTGCCAGCTGCTTCTGGGGTACGGAACAATCTGAGGTGCAAGGAGAGGCCTTAGCACCCCCACTGCTCACCTGATCCCCCTGCAGCAATGAGACCCAGTGCCTAACATTCCATGACTCAGAGTTTGAAAACCACTGCTCTCATCTATTTCATTTAGGGTTTCTTCAGAGCCACTACCCTAGCATCTAAATGTTTCCCTGTAAAGTATTGTAGTAAGTTCCTCCCGTAGTGGACTTTGTGGGGTTTCCTAGCTAGAAGAGGCTCTCACAATCATCACTAGAAAAGCCTTATTAAGTTAGTGGATGGCTTAGTGCTCTAAGACCCAAGTTTAAAACATTCCCTGAAATCATGTGTTCGAACTACTGCAGTGTCCTCTCTAGTCCTCTGTTGTTCCAAGGTAGAATGGTTCAATTCAATGCACTTTGCTCTCTTTCTGTGTCTGTGTCAGATAAGATTTTAAAAGGAACCCAGGTCGCCTCTGCACTGCTTGGTGACTGGATGCAACACAATATTAAAAAGATATATTGGCATTGGAAAAGGTTCAGAAAAGGACAAAAATGATTAGAGGTTTAGGGCTGCCATATAAAGAGAGATTAAAAAGACTGGGACTTTTCAGCGTAGAGAAGAGGAGACTCTCACTACATCTCTACTGCAGCCTTCTTCCGCAAAAGCTTATGCAAATGAAGCGCGGAGTAGAATATTACCGCGCTTCATGTACATAATTAATTAGCAGCTGTTTTTGCGCAAAAACCTCCTCTTGCACAAGAGCCATTCTTCCTGAAAAAATGAGGAAGAAACCCCCTCTTGCGCAAGACCCATTCTTCCTCATTTTTTCAGGAAGAATGGCTCTTGTGCAAGAGGAGGTTTTTGCGCAAAAACAGCTGCTAATTAATTATGTACATGAAGCGCGGTAATATTCTACTCCGCGCTTCATTTGCATAAGCTTTTGCGGAAGAAGGCTGCAGTATAGATGTAGCCTAAGGGGGGATATGATAGAGGTCTGTAAAATCATGGCAGGTATGGAGAAAGTGAATAAGGAAAAGTTATTTACTTGTTCCCATAACACAAGAACTAGGGGTCACCACATAAAATTAATAGGTAGCAGGTTTCAAACAAACAAAAGGGAGCTTTTCTTCAAGCAATGCACAGTCCACTGTAAAACTCCTTGCCAGAGGAGGTTGCGAAGACCAGGAATTTAAAAGTATTAAAAAAAGAAGATACATTCATGGAGGTTAGATCCATCAATACTTATTAACCAGAATGGATAGGAATGGTGTCCCTAGCTTCTGTTCACCAGAGGCTGGAAATGGATGACAGGAGAGGGATCACTTGGTGATTTTCTGTTCACCCCCTCAAAGGCACCTGGCATTGGACACTGTCAGCAGACAGGAATACCGGGCTGGATGGACCTTTGGTCTGAACCAGTATGGCCGTTCTTATGTTCTCTCTCCAGTAGAGGGCAGCAAATGAGCATCTGTCTGTGAAACGCCTCCAGCAGTTGGCTCAGTGACAAATTTAATGCTAGCTATCACTCCCAACAGTGCCAGTAGGCAGAGGGGAAGAAAGAGATCTGTCACAGCATTGAACCTACTGTTGTATTATTTGTAGAGGCTGCTTCTCAGCTTGGGTGCAGGGAAACAGAATGTGCATTTCTCCTGTGCTTTGCTTGACATATTTTGTCTATTTCAAAACATCCATATAATTCTAAAGCAATAGCAAAGTATGCCGCCAGCGCGCATTATTATTTATTTTTATTTGCCTTAAAAGAGTTTGGTCGGTATCAAAAGACCTCGGCCAGCAGCCATTTTTATCATGGCAGAGTTAGCTGAGAAACTAGCTTGGGGCTGCACCTTGTATGCAGATGCTTGCTTTGCAGATGCAGCGATTGTGCCTAAGTGTCTAGGAGCAATGCACACTTTTTACAAAGCAGTGACAAGCCAAGATGTGGGTAGAGGTGTAGTCTGCCACCGACCCAACTGATCTCATAAGGCAGTCTAGTACACACTGCGCCAAATGCATCCTTGGTGGAACAAGATTCTTGCCCAACTGGTGCAATTAAAACCCTTATCTGTGCCAGTGAAACTCACAACAGAGAACAAAAGGAACCTGAAAGCTACCATAAGAAATCATATTCCTGGGGAATCAGAAATTTCATACTGTGGTCTACACAACACATGTGTGCCTACCCCCCGTGGCAGGGTGTAACTCTGAATATAAAATGAATACACGAACTAATGTATATGTTGCTCTCTCTCGAACTTTAATATACCTATATTCTGAGAGGGTAAAGCAGCTACACAGTCAGATCAATAACATACCAGGAGCAGCCAGGTAACTGGTGTATAGGTCATTAGATACTTGCTCACAGGAAATTAAATAATAGTTCTGCATTCTGTAGCACTGTTCTTCTTCCCCTGTTGGATCATGCTAAAAGAATCATTTCTTCTTCTGTGTTTGCTCTTGGGTAAATTTAAAAGAGATCATCAGTGCATTTCTCTGACGTACAGGTGATTAGTTCTCATTCATTTCACTATCTGTGCCAATGCTTCCATTTTCCCGTAGAAACCCCTGATGGCAATTAAACGAGGGAGAGGCTCTCTGGGAGGGGGGAGAAAACAGAATAAAAAAGAGTTTGTGTGTGTTTGACTGTGGATGGGGGAGAGGGCAGAAGATTCAGGGGATGATACCAAGGGGTGTAGGCTGAGAGTTAAGTTCCATAACAAACAACTAGATCATGACTAGCAGAAGAGGTGCCATAAACTGTAGTTCAAAAGTCAATGAACACTTTTTGTTGGGGTTAAATATTGGCCTGCAGCATTTACAACCCAAAGATAAGATTAAAAGGACTTCAGTTTGACTTGGCAAATTTCCACAGTTCCCCAGTGTGATGCTTAGGGTTAGATGCTCAAAACCAGTCAGCACCCCGTGGTTCTGAGCGCTAATGAAATGCTGATCACTTATTTTTGTCTCTAAACAGGAGCTGAGAACTTCTGAAAATGTGATCTCCCGCTGCTTCAATTTTCCTTCTGTAAAATGGGGATAATACCAGCGCCTTACCCATCTTAGCCTTTTTTCTCTTCCTAAGTATCCCTACAACCATTGTCCCACCTAATTGTTTTACATGCATGTACAGAATAAATTTTGTTATGTGCAGCAAGGCATGTACAGATGTGCACCACCAACAGAAACACATGCTGCCAGCGGTGGGCACTCTGCTCATCAGCTGGGCAGCACCTGAAACTCTCCTGGGTGGCCACCCAAGCATTCAGCTTATAGCGGATACTACAGGCTGTAACTTCTCGCCCATTATGCCTTGAGCTTGGATGATTCCTCTAGGTTGGTGATTCACAACCATTGTGGGCTGCATATACACATATCCACACAATATATATACTTAACATATGGGCCTGGAGATGTCAGATGCGCTGCAGCTGTATGTGGAATGGGCCACAAGCAGCCTGGGGGATGAGAACCACTGCTCTAGGGTGCTTCTGTGATACACCTGAATAGTAAGTGAAACTGACTATAAATCAGAGCAAAATTGACTAGCCTGTGTCAATCCACCCAAGGTGAGTGAAGGGCAATATAAATAAAGACACAGCAAAACTAAAATCATTAATGGCAGAAAGTAAAGGTGATGAAATCAGTGCACCTTGCAGAGTGAATAATCTAAACCAGTGTTTCTCAGCTTAGGAGTACCCGAAAGAAGTCTGGGGTTTCGTCAACACAACTGAAATTTGGAGAAAACTGAATTTTTGTTTTAAGTTTTACTGCGCTTTATTATTTTTCTACTTTTTACACCCCAAAATGTCATTGCCTGCCTGGCTATGATTAAGTTGTTTAAACAAATGTGTTGCAATGGTAAAAAAAAATGTGTGGCTGAAAACTGTAGGTCCGGGGAGTACTATAATTTTTTTTTGAAAAAGGGGTACTTTATAAAAAAACCTGAGAAACACTGATCTAAGCTCTCCGCCCTCCAGCCACAAGGAAACTAAGCATGTATCAGACTATTGAGAGCCCCTTCAACCCGCTGACCTGCAAGGGATACATTTCAGAAGGGTCCTCAGATTAGTCTGTATCTGCAAAAACAAGGAGGGGTCCGGAAGCACCATAGAAAATCTCAGATTTATTTGGGCGTGAGCTTTGGTGGGTAAAAAAAAAA